CACCCACCTGGGCTGAGGTTAAAACACAGCTGGAACTCTGGCCTCAGCTGTGAGGGCTGAACTATGAAAGTGCCCAGTTCAGACTCTGCCCAGAGGAAGGTGAGCAAGAAGTCAAGACAGCACCTAGTTGCAACCTCAGGGGGAGGCAGAGGTAACTATGAGCTTTCAGCCAGTAGAGGAGAAGATGAGCGGTGAGGATGCAGGTGAGAGGCCTGGAGGGAAAGGAGTGATGTGGCCCCACAAGGCAGATTTGGGGCAAGTAGACAGAGGGTACAAGAGAAGAGATTTCAACTCAGCACAGAGACACTCTGACCATCAGAGTCAGCCCAAGGAAGCCCAAGGTAGCAAGGACTACAATGGAGGCCATGCACCCCAAGTCCCTGCAACCAACTGGCAGTAACTTTGGAGTACAGATTCTGCCAAGCATTCAGTTGCCTATAAGCCCTGCAGCCTTTGTAGAGCTGACCCATTTGATCCTCGTCCAGCCATTTGCGTGAGTAGCAGAGAAGACTGATTCACCTTACAGAGACAATGAGGGTGCTCAGAGAGGTCGAGCAACTTGCTCAAGGTCACAGTGGAGCAGAGCTGTGACTGGGACCTGGTCTTCCTCCAGCTCATAGTGGGGGTGGGCAGGAGATTAATCAAACTCACCTGGACCACCAGCTTCCATTCTCACCGTTGGCATCTCCAAGGCCTTCCCGGAATCAGGGTCAGGATGTCTCCCTTGCTAATCTCTCTCAACGCCTTCATGGCCTTTTCACCATCATCACTGTGGCTTTGCTCCAGGGCTGGGTTCTCTTGCCCTGCACTGCCCTGGGTCATTCTAGCAGTCTCCCAGTTGGCCTCCCTAACAGTGCCTCATCAACCTCTAAAAACCATTCCAATGGTTGCACACTGGAATCATTTGAGGGAGCTTTAAAATATAATAATGCTCCTCCAAAAGTTACACATAAAGCTATGGTAATAAAACCAGCATGGTACTAGCATAAGGATAGACATATAAACTCATGGAATGGGATTGAGAGTCCAGAAACAAAACTATACATCTATGGCCAACTGATTTCCAACAAGGAAGCCAAGACTATTCCATGGAAAAAGAACAGTGCTTTCAGTCAGTGGTGCTGGGACAACTGGATAAGCACATGCCAAAGAATGAAGTTGGGCCCCTACTTCACACCATTTATAAAAAATAAACCCGGGCCGGCCGAGTGGCTCAGTTGGTTAAGAGCTTGCTCAAGAGTGCAAGCTCTGAGCAACAGCGGTTCGATGCCTGGCCTGAGCTGAGCTGCCGCTGAGCTGCCAACAGGTGGCAGGATGGCTCAGCTACATAAATAAATAAATAAATAAATAAATAAATAAATAAATAAATAAATAAAATAAAATAAAATAAACTCAAAATGGATCAGTGACCCAAATAGAAGAGCTAAAACCATAAAACTCTTAGAAGAAAACACAGGGGTAAATCTTCAAGACTCTGGATTTGACAATGGATTCTAAGCACAAGCAACAAAAGGAAAAACAGGTAAAGTAAGGCCTGGGCTATAAGGTCCTCCTGGGGCAGCCAGGCCTCCATCAGCCTGTCCCTGCCACCTGCTTCCCGCTGTCAGCTCTCAGCAGGAGGAGAAGCCTGATGCTTCCTGGGAGTTGCCTCCGGTTGAGAGCTCAGCCTGCTACAGAGGGCTGGCGGAGAGGTAACCATCAGGGGACTTCCCTTTCTACCTAAGTTTCAAACTCTGTGCAAGGCTGGGTGGACAAATAAGAAGAGGGCCACACGGGCACCGTGGGGTGCCACTGTGGGCATGCGGGGTACTCTGTGGGCACATGGGGCACTGCCGTGAGTGCCACGGGTGATGCTGAGTCCTGCAGGGTGCCTCATGGGCACCATGGGTGCCTCTGTGGGCACTGTGGAGAACCACAGTGGATGTATGGGTGCTGTCACTGGCACCATGGGAAACCACCATGGTGCTGTGGGGTGCGGCTGTGGGTGCAAACAGGGTGCCCCTGTAAGTGTGCCACGCGAGCATCGCAGGTGCTGTGGGGTTCTATGGCAAACACGCTGTCCTTGGCGCAGAAGCCCTGTGTTTGGGTCCTAAACTTGCTGCTTTTGAGGGGTGAAGCCTGGATTCATTTACAACTTTCTTTTCAGAACCCCAGTGGTCCCCATCTATAAAGAACTTATTAATACTTGCTTTTTGGAAAGTGGAAAGGATCAGCAATTATCTACAGAAAGGGTCTGGCAAAAATAATCAGGGTGAAATGAAAACCACGGGATAAAGGCTCAGGAAGAACTGTTCACACCCGACATGGCCCCACCCCCCAGGGGTGTCAGAACAGAGAGCTGACATAACCCAGGCCCTCCACTCAGCCCTTTTTTAGACCAGGCACAGAAAGAGGTATGTGTCTCCAGGGTAACCCCACCGTTTGGTCATAAACACCCAGCTCTCACATCCCAACATCCAGAGCCTCTTCAAAAAGGTCACCTTGGGAGGCCACATTATTTCAGGGGGCTGCCATCGTTCAAAGCAAACAGGTGCATCGCGCTGGAAGTTTCCTCACCCTCACAACCACCCAGTGAGGTGCATGCTGTTTGCCCATTTTATAGATGAGAAAACGGAGGCTCTGGGGCGATCAAATCCCTCCCCTGGAGTCAAACGGCAGAGCTGGGACTCAGCCTCCACCAGTCTGGCTCCCAAACCTCAGCTAACATTTCCCATAATAGCACATGCCTGTCTGCCCATGGCCTATGGTCATCTTTGTATTTTTCCTGTGACTAACATTTATCTGTCTCCTGGCTAATCAGAAGGGCAAGGCTAAATCGCTCCTGCTCCCTTGGCACCCCTCCTGAAGGTAACCCAGGATCAGCAGCACACTTGCTGCTTTTCTCTGTACTCAAAGAGATTCTTTCCCTTGGTTCACCCAGGCCCACGGCTTCCTCTGATTAGAGAAGCATCCGTAGCAGAAAGGTCCTGGGGAAGTTAAGCTTTTTCCGACTCGCTTCAGAGCCTTTCCCTGATTAAGAAAACCATGCAAGATCCAAGCTCTGTGATAAGGCAATAGCTTCCTGTGGGAATCAGGGCAGCTGCTGCCAGGAGGCTTATAATTAAGATTACGGCCCTGGCGCTGGCCGAGCGACGGGAGCTGCAGGACACAAATACTACTGAGGCAGAAAGAAAGCCCAAGCAGGCCTCAGGCTTGCCACTCTGGTGCCACTGTCCACACAGGCCTCAGCCTGGCCCTGGGAGCCGACCACCCGGCCTTGAATCCCAGCCTGAAAAAACCCACCCAGCCAGCAGCACAGTCCAGAAGCGAGAGGATGGGCTGGGAGACCAGGCGCATATCAGATCAGGGACAAAGAAAGTGGCCGAGTGCTTCTCAACCACAGGACCCAAGATAACCAAAATTCCAAATGCCATAAGGCGGCTGGGGGCCGCACTTCATAGTTTGTACACCCCATCCACCCTCACAGCAGCCCTAGGGATGGGAAGGCAGGTGCAGGGGCTATGTAGGGAGGAACAGTGTGGGGAGCTTTCTGTGAGTTCATCATCTTATCTTCTCCCCCAAACCACCCCATGGGTAGATATTACGCTCTCATTTTAGAGACCAGACAACCAAGACCCACAGAGATTTTACCAAGACCCCAAAGTTTTAAAAAAATTCTAGGTCAAGAAAACAAATCATTTTTTATGTCTTTTCAGGAAATGAAATTTCAAGAGGTGATTTGGCTTAAAGGTGTTTTTTATTTTTTATTTTTTTAAACTTAAGCCTCAAGTCACAAAGCTGGTAAGCAAAACACATAAGAATTGTAGGGTTGTTCAGGCAAGGGCTTCAAATCTCAGTCGCATTACTCACTGCTGGGTGACCTTAGGCAAGTCACTTAACGTCTCTGAAGCCCAATGTTCTTATCTCTCTGAGGCTGAGGAGAGGACAGAATGAGATAACGCAGGGCGTGTGCTTAGCACTGTGCCTGGCATGCAGAAGCCCTCAGGGTTGGTTAATCTGACTCTTCTGATTAGCCGGGACTCAACCCCAGGTCCATTTGCCCTTCAGGCCCTGTGGTTGTTCCACTGAGGGTCTGAGTCATCCTTTGCCCAAGACTGGCAATCCGGCCTCCTTGGAGCTTTCAAATCCTCTCTTCTCTCCACAGCTTTCCCCGAGCCCCCAATCCATCTCTGCCTTCCTGCTGTCCCACCACACCTGTCACTTCCTCTAGTTCAGCCCTTGGCCTTAGAACCTCAGAAATCGAGGACGTGAGGGCTGGAACAGAGATTCTGGTCACTGCTGCCCCATTTTACAGATGACAAAATGAGGCTTGATGAGGGAAATGGCTTACGAGGACCCGTGAGGCACAATGGTAGCACAGCTGGGCCAAAGGATGGACACCATGACTCCACATTCAGAAACCTTCCATGAGGCCTCCAGTCCACCACGTGTCCTGGAATCACGGGCAGCCCAAGAAGCTTCCAGAGTCCCAGAAGCTGACCTGGGCTTTTCCATTCTCAATGCCATCATGGAATGTGAACTTTATCCAGAAGAGAGCCCTGAGATGGGGAGGAGGAGGAATAACTTCAGGAAGGTATTCCCTGTGGTGGGTGTGGGGGAGGGGGAGGCATGGGAGGGGTCCTCAGCACAGACCAGGCCCTCCGTGAGCCCCCAGGAGCTCTGCTTTCCCTGGGAGATCTCACTCCCTCCAATCCTGCAACCCTCACTCTCTGGATGGACCCATGGAGGACCAACCATGACCCGCGGCCCCCTCAACAGGGCAGCAGCCAGCCTCGTGAGATTCAGCACCAGCTTCTCTCTCCTCACACCTCACCTTTGCTCCCCATCCCTGAACAAACATCTGGGGGCAAGGACAAGAGGAAAACCACCCTTCACCTGCCCTGCACCGCCCCAGCATGAGCCGAGAGAGTTCTCCAGCTCAGAAAGAGAAGGTCTGAGGAGACTAGACCCTCTACGTTTATAAGCTGAGATGCCACTCCACCGTGTTGCCAAAATCATACCTCTTTCAACTGGTGTCTTTTCCTTTCGGGGGTGTCAAGACTCTCTTGAGGTCTCTTTCTGTGGTGGCTTCCAGATAAGCTCTAGAGGGGAAAGAGAAAGAAATGAATTTTGAAAAGGCAAGGGTTAGTGCGGCTTCTGGGGGCCCCCTCAGTCCAGATGTGCACCCACTGCCTGAGGTGTCCACTCCCTCCTTCCACCTCTGCAGGTGTGGAAGCCAGACAAGGGTCCCTATGGCCAGAAAGACAGAACTAAGCACCCAGCCCCACACAGGCTCACAGGATGGCGTCCCCAGTGCCTACGGATCGGGGCATATTTTCAGTCTTGCCAAATCAGCCCAGGAGCCTGTGCAATGTCCACGCGATGACATTGAGCGCGATAATCACAACATCACATTGCGTTTCTTTGCTTCCAGCTAGAGTGTTATCAACTTGGTGTGGGAACTCCATTCTCCTCAGGCAGAAAAAAACCGCTTTCTGAGTAATTTTGAAAATGTGAAAGAGAATTAATCATCGCTTAATGAATGCATGCTCCTTGGGCAGACCAATGCTTTCAAAATCTGGTTGGGATCCATTAAGAGATGTAAAAAAAGGGGTCGGTCCTTGGTGGTGAGAAAAACAACGCAGCCCCACAGTTCAGGGGCTGCAGACCAGCCTCTCCCCACTTCTTCTTTGTCAGTTTGACTCAGACCCCAGGTCACAGGAGAAGGATCAAATTCACCATGTCCAGGCTATGTACCTGCCAGCCTAGGCTTGAGCCAGTCCCAGAAGACCGGGCTTATTCACATGCACAGCTGAGAAACAAAAGCAAAACTTACAGCAGAGAGGGGAGAGCTAAGATCCCCAGCCCAACTCCTTGTGCCCTCAATGAGCAGGCTGCACCCTGGAGGTCCTGATCAAGTTTCAGGTTGTTTCAAATGATTATGACAAGAATCCTGATACCCTCTGCAATCCCATGAGAAAGAATCGCCACTTCAGGGATGAGGATCATGACCTCAGGGGAGTTAAATAACTTGCCTAAGGTCATGCCACTGAAATGGAGCAGCACCAGGACTAGAACTCAGGTCCCGAAGCCTGTTACAAGTGCCTTCTCCACAGTGCGAGATGTGCAAACAGGAAAGCAATGAGTTCCAGGTCGGCTCTACAGATCCTAGCATCATCAGAGCGCCCCTTGCACAGAAGGTGTTCTCAAAAATCCCTGCTAACCGATGGGGAACAGGGCTTGGTTGGTGGATGTGAACTCATTTTATTTGGCTCTCTGCCCCAAACATCCACCCATGTCAGCCCAGGGGGCCTCATGCATCATGGGCCAGACTAAGGCTACAACTGGAGGAATCACTGATATATACATAAGCGCATGGTGGCAAGTTCTCGAATTTAACTGTCAGACTTTGTAGTACGTGTGTGCATGCATATGTGTGTGAGTGAGTATGTGCCCATGTGGGCCCACATGCAGATGATGTGACTTTACACAAGTAAGATCCTACCACACATGTTCTACAATGCCACTTTTCAAGGATATCATGTCTACCCACGACTGTGAGATTATACAGATCTCTGAGTCTTTTTCACAGCTGCACGGTACCCTATCGTAAGTGTGGATTATAATTTATTTTCCTCCCCCACCATAGATATGTGGGGTATTTCCATTTCTGGCCATTACAACTACAACCTTGCTGCAGTGATCCCCACACCTTTGTGTGGAAAGGTCCCTGCAATTCCAAAGCCTGGGTGCCTAGAAGTGAATGTGCCTCCACACATTTAGCCTCTGAATAGATGCAGACCAACTGCCTTCCCAAAATGCTGGATCAATTCCCCTCACACAGCAGGGCAGAAAGAGCCCCTTTTCTTGGATGTAAAGAAAAACTTGGAACCCAGGGCGCTGTCTACATGAGGGCTTTTCTGTTCACCTCCCAGTAGCCAGGGAGGCCAAGTCCCCTGGACAAAAGGAGGAGTTGATTTCTTGGCTCACGCAGATGGCCACTGCTCCACTGCCCGGGGACATCTCAGAGGAACTCGGGCCCACCTGAGCCAGGAACTACATTTACAGGCTCAGAACTGATAATGAGCTTTTATGAGCTCTGGGGACCGCCAGGAACTCGTATTAATGTCAAGCGTGCCTGTCAGCCACGCAGCCTGGGTGAATGTCACACATTAACGAAATTAAAGGCCACGGCCACCCCGGGAAGGAGCTGCGGGCTGCATGTCAGGTGGTGCGGGTAGGCCCGTCAATAACAAAATTACTTTCCAGGTTTTGTACTCCCGAGCCTGAAGCTGTCTCTCCTCTTCAGAGGAATTCTGCCTTCCTGAAGCCTGAGGGGAGATTAGTTTATTACCAGTCAGCCTGGAGAGGCAAAATCCAGCACTAATCCTAATTCTCATTTAAGCAAATCTGCATTGTGTGAGAGAAACCAGCTGGGCTCGGAATTTCTTGCCTCTTTCCCCTGAGATCTCATTCCAGCCCCCTCCTCTCCGTGAAGGGGGGGGGGGTCACTGCAGATGTTAGACTCAGAGCTCTCTTGGGAAGAAGAAAAGAATCCCAGGGTTTAGGGCCAAGAGGGGGACTGGGGCTAGATGACAAGAGGCGGCATTGAAAGATGGTGGCTGGGCGAAGGTGGTCACCGTGGGCTGTGGGAAAGCAAGGGCCACCGCCGTCCAGGCCCCAGACTTACTCTTGGTTTGTACACATATCCCCCACGTTGAAGCGGCCCAGGATGAAATCCTGAGTCCACTTCGAACTAGCTCTGTGACCTTGAGCAACTGACCTTCTTAATCCATGCCTCAACTCCTCCTCTGAGAAACAAGGCTAACAACAGCTGATAACTCATAAGATGTGTGAGGATTGCATGAGGAATGTGGACACAGGACTTAGAGAGCCCGCCATACAATATCCTATTTCTTGAATGTAAGACGCCGTGGATTAGAATTGCACCATTATTTTAGGGACTTCCAAGAAAGAAAACACTGCCAGTTAATTAATTATGAATGTCACTTTGTGAATGATGCATCCTGGTTCCAGAGACATTAAAATTAAAAAAAATTAAAAAAAAATAAATAAAGTGTTTCTTAGACTCTGCAAACTATATAGTAAGAGCTTAATCAATGGCAGTGGGTGGGATGACTAGTACCCAAGTAACCCCATTTTGCAAGGTCCAGCTCAGATCTTTTTCCCTCTCTTCTTTCTTCTAAACAAAGCAAATCTGCATTGTGTGAGAGAAAGCAGCTCTCAAGTTATAAGAAAAATTTTGAGAGCTACTTCGGTGTCCTGGAAGAGGCCCAGTTGAGAGACTTTAATCTCTACCCTGATGCTTCCTACTCTATTTTTACATTAAAATAGAGCATATATACACAGCAATGCACACACCATGAGTATGCAGCCTACTGAGCTTTCACAAACAGAGCACCCCCGCGTAACCGTCACCCACATCAAAAACTTCTACTTTCCAATCATTGTTTCTCTTCCATCCCATGTCTCTCAAATTACCCCTGGTTCTCTATCCCACTGCCCCTGCCCTTCCCTGCCTGCGCTCAGCCTTATCATTGTCTGTCCACTTGCTGCAAACAGGCTCCTGGTTAGTCCGCCAGCTGGTGGCTGGTGACCCCTGTTCCCTCCAACCTGCCCTCTCCTTTGCTGTAAGACTGAGCTCATAAATGTGGAGTATCGTGTCTCTCTCATGGCCTCCCTTTACCTACACATGGGGCCTTTTATCATCTGATCCCTAGCTGCCAACCTTTCCAGGCCCACCTTCAGGTCCTCACAGTATGCATACCCCACAGTCAGACTGAATTCACCTGCAAAATGTGGACAATCATAGTCCTACCTCGCTGGCCTGAGCTGGGAACTAGATGTGCTAACGGATTGTAAGTGGTTCCCATGGTACATGGCGCAAAATCAGCAGCTGATAAAGGAAGAAGGAATTCCATAAAATAGAATCTGCTTGCTACTTTCTGTAAAACTGGTAGTGGTCATGATTAGTGGTTTCAAGTTATACTTCTTAGGTCCTTCTCTCACTCTCTCAGGTGTCTACACAAAGAAAAGATGGGGTCTACACCCCAGACATATGCTAACACTTAATTCACAATAGCTGGACTTTCTAATATTTTATATAATAAGTTTCTAGGTAACAATGAAGACAACTGGTTTAGAGTCTCTTGATATCCTAGAATCCCAAGTCAGTATGATTTCAGAGAAGGAAGAGAGCTGGGAAGGCTTCCTGGAAGAGGCAGCAAGGAAAGGATGGAGGGAGGAAGGTGATCAGCCCAATGATGAGCCCTTTCCTGGCTAGCTCCTGCTACAACTTCTCTCTCTCTCCCCCTTCCCTCCCTCCCTTCCTCCCTCCCTCCTCCAGCCACTCTACATCTCTTCCTGGCTCCTAGGTGGAACTGCCATCCTTCTGACCCCTGTGACCACAAGGACTCTTGGTCTTGTGCCCCAAGAAGGAGCAGCATCCTCGGGCGGCGAGACCCTGGAGGTGGCTCAGCCCTGGGCCCCCTCTCCCCACACCAATGCCAGGCCACGAGATCCAGGCTGGGCCACTGCCAGCTGATGCATGGCTTGTTGACAGATGAAAGCTCTGCAGTTTATGGCTCCAAAGCAAAGCCAGGGCTTTGTTTTACTTTGTTTTAAATTAGCAACGCAGGGGGTTGATGTGGGGGTGGGGGGAGGGGCAGAGCCAAGGAGCGTTCAGGAGGAGCCCCTGCTGTGTCTTGCAAGTCAACTATCCCCTGGGCAGCTCTTAATGAAGCCACATCCTGTCTCTGCATCTTCTCTCCACCTGCCCTTGTCTCGCTGGGGGAGAGTGTTTCCCAGCGCCACTCACCCTGTCACTCAGCCCCATCATCTCCTGTTCCTGTAAGTAAGGAGTCCCTGAATTGGCCTGCTAATTGTACCCCAGGGTCACAGTGGGGCTGAGGTGGGAGCCACGACTTCCTCAGAAAGGTTAGGATTTATTTTTGCTCCAAGAAGGGAGAGCCACTCCCTACCTATAATAGGGCACCGCGCAGTGAGCACTGGCACTGCTAGCAAGGAACCCAGTGGACAGGGAACTCCCCATCTGAGCCCTTCCGCTCTGGGTGGCCTGCAA